GCTCATAAGCGCAAAGCCATCAGCGCTCATAAGCGCAAAGCCATCAGGAGCCTTTGTGAGCATCTCCTTTGACAAAGAGTACCTCACAGGGGCACTCATGTCATCGAAGATCGTCTCACCATTGTTGACCACGCAGTCAGCTTCATCTTGGCATGAGGTCATCATGCCTGACAGCAAGTCCACCTCACTGTCATGGACTTCAGCTGCTGCTGTCACACAATGCGCAAAGAAACCTTGTTGACCTCCTGATGCTTGTGAAGTTCTTGAAGGTGCAGGTAAAGAACGTGGCTGTTGTTGATTTGCATAGTTTGCATCTTGCTTGCCATCTCCTTTATCTTTTCCTTTTCCTTTCTTGCCTTTTCTCTTGCCTTTTCCTTTTCCTTTGTGGGGAAACCATGCTTCTTCAAGCTGTTGCCAAAAGTCATTGGCATCATCATATTCTCCTTGAAGATAGTCATTCATATCCTCGGCAAGAATGGCATCATATGCTCCTTGGGTTGACTCCCAAGTGTCCTCATAAGGATTCTCTTCAAGGTATTCATCTGGAAAAGTTGTCTGTTGCTCATCAGCAAAATGGCCTTTACCTCGTCTCTTTCCTTTTCCTTTTCCACGAGGTCTGAAGAATCTGCGGCCTGATCTTCCTTTTCCTTTTCCTTTTCTTCTTCCTTTTCCTTTGCCTTTTCTGGCTCTTCTTCCTTGGAATCTCCTTTGGAACCATGAGAAGTTTTGATCATCATATACCCAAAAGACATCGTCCAGGGCATCTAAAAATCCTTCTGTTCCATCTTCTTCATCTTCGGCCCAATAGCCAAATGTACCATCGAGTTCTCCTTCGTCTAGTACGAGAAATGATCTTCTACCTCCAGCACCTGTCGGCTGCATCAATGGATTGTCTACTGAAGTCTTTGTCGTGCAGAACATCTCGATGAACACTGTCCTCAACTCTGTTGTGGTGTATTGCTGCAGGCACCTGCCACGATGAGTCATCAACGAAGTCAAAGTGTTTCGCTGGTCCTGAGACAAATCTGCAAGGGACAGCATGAGTAGGGCAATGAGATTCTCTCCTAAAGGAAAATCATTCTGATGAAGAATTCTCATATTGCCATTGACATTCTGCATGATTTCCTGAATCCTTTCTGCCGTTGGTGCTACTCCAGTCAACGCTGCATCTGCCTGCATCTGAGCAAGGACTTGGGGATGTGCTTGAGTGACTGGTTCTAACATGTCCATCCAACTGCTCATAAGCCTTTGGAGTAAAATCTGGAATCTTGTCATCCATTTCATCATGTCAGCTGATCCTCGATTGAATCGCACGAATTGCATAAACCTGTATAGGAATACATTGGTTGATCCTTTCACGAAATATGGTCGTAGTACTCTTTTGAAGTAATCTACTCCTGCTCCTGGTGGCTCATTAGCCTTCAATGAATCTCTGTCTAATACACGTTTGTATACTGCTGCTTCTCCTTCTAATCTGTTTCTCAAAGCTGGTCCTCTCTTCTCATCTTCCAGCTCGGTGATATCACACCAATCGTCTATGGCATCCTCATAGGAAAACCATGAAGTCTTTCCATCATAAGATGGGGGCACCTTTGTAGTGACCTGTGTTGTCATTGCTATTGCTGCTGGTTCTCTTCTCACATGCCTATTCACGTAGGCTGCTGGCTCATAAGCCACATCCGCATCAGGCTCTTCCCAGTCGTCAATCCAATCCATGGCCGTTTGCCCACAAGCAATTCTATGCCTAGGAAAGGAGCTCACCTGGGTCTTCCAGGATCACTGCTCCGCTACCACTGAAAGAGTGACTAGGGCGTACACGGTAGAGGTGCAGACCGCTAGTGTCTTTTATGCGCAGAGTCTTATCCTCTTGCTCTTTGAGCCTTGAAGCAGTCAAGCATGGACACACTATATCAGCTGTTGGAGTGGAACCCTGTACAGGTAGGCTCTACTTTTCAGGGGGGGGGGGCCTATTGAAAAATCACTTCTAAGGGGGGGGGGTTGAATTGAGCAATCAATTATTAGACCCGGACGCGCCGACACTTGCTTCGCAAGACAAACTCAAGGTATCCCCTAAAGGGCTACCTTTCGTGAACAACATGTTGAAGACGCATTGATTGATCCCCAATAGAATGGTTTTGAGATGTTTTGAGACATGCCAACCAAGATCCAAACGTGCCATCCTAGAGTGTCAGAAGTCTAAGGTCCTTTGTGGGATCCTATGGTCGCACGGAATTGGCAGCTTATTTCTGTAGGTTGCAGCAAAGCCCCAAGACGTGTCAGGAACCAGGGCTGCAAGCCCAATGAGTACAATGTCTGCATCATCGCACAACCCTCAGAAAGAAGCAACCCGTGATTTTTCTGTCATTGGAGGGAGACTGCATCTTCAGGATCCACCCAGCAGCAAGAACGACACTTGAGCTTCGCACAAGAAGCCTGCAACAAGCGAAGACTCAGTGAGAGAGTTGACTTGAGTTGAACGGAGGTACCAAAGAGATAATCCTTCGCTGCTTTGCATCACCACCACAATCGACATTCGCCAGCGAGCTTCGCGCACCTTGTTCAGCCAGGTGGAATCCTTGACTCCTGCATAGTCCAGCAGTGCATCTGCACCGTTGGTCTTCCTAGGATGAGGCCCTAGGAAAAATTGCCAAGTTCCCGGTTGCCGAAGTTCCCAGCTTGGCAACGTCTTGTGCTGGGCAGGCACCAGAGGCTGGAATTCCAGCTATTTTGCATGAAAAAGGGATTAGAGTATTAGATTTCATTCCCTAGAAGACCCTATTATTTTGACATGTTTCTTTGTAAAGTATGCAGTGAGAAAGCGGGGCAGCAGTGGGGTCTGAGTGAAACTATCACTGCTCAGGCCAAGGAGGAGTTGGATGGGTGTGTGGTTTTCTATTTTCTACCTGGCTCTTAAATGGGTGAACCAATGATACCCATCTGCGTGCTCGGCAGGTGTATCGAGCCTTGCTATCAGGATGCATGACCTGCACATAGAAGTAGCCGGCAATGAGAGATCCAGTGCTCAGCATCAAAGGTCCAATGAAGAAGGTATACTTTCGAGACAAAACCTCAGGTTACAAAGCTCCACTTTGAGCTACCGACATCACGATCGAGTTCTCTTCATTTTCACGATCGAGTTCTCTTCAATTAGTAGGTGAATGACGGATGGGAAGCACATAATTAGATTTAAGTCTCTTGGAAGACCTAAAGGAGATTTGAGCAGCAAGTTTCATCACAAAAAAGGTAGGAAAAAAGGCTTGTCCACGCTTTCCGCGTAAATAGACTTCAGTGACCCCACCCCATGCCGGCCGAACCGGACAGCTGGAAGAATCCGAGCATCCGAAGACTTTCGCCGATCGGTTTGGGAGGTTTTGACTGGCCTTCCACTCCTTCGCTTTCATGAAAGTGCCAAGTCACAATGATGTTGAACAATGCCATCCTAGGACCGACGGCAACCCAAACACGAAAGGGACTTAAATTGGCTTCGATCTCCCGAATGGCTTTGAGGTCGGCTCCCTTCCTAAGCCAACCGATATAGTTAGGCCTGGTGTTCAGGAATCCAACAAGCGGAACGCAGTGTCTGGACACACGAGATTTACTAGATCCCATGTGGCTGAGATCCTGATGCGTTAATGCCTTTTTGTTAAGGCTCCAGGATTGTGGGCAATCAACTTCTTGCGCTCGCACCACAAAAGTTCCGACGAAAGATCCCGAAAGTTCAAAAAATCACAGATCGTGCACTTTACCACATGGAGAGGATCCAAAATATATACTAAACATCACATAATCACCTGCCCCGAACTTGCTCAACAATACATCGTGATACCCATAACAATTATGTTACTATTACTATATTAAAAAATATGGAATCTATAACCCCAAACCACTCCCTGAACCCATTATATGGTACATTATGGTACAGTACTGCATTTCGCAGAAATACAATTCATTTTCTTCACTGAACCCCATGTAAATATGCTTTTTCGTTCTATGGTGGGATTTTAATGCGGGAGTGCTTCTACACAGAATGTCAAACTATGATGTCAATGCTGAGATGAACATTGACATATACTGACACCCAACTTAATCCAACTGTACTGCCTCAGTCCATCTCTGTCTGGCCCTTCCACCACCAAGCGGTGAATCTGCTGTGACCCTGAATTCGAGCTTCTGCAAAATGCCCACGGACCACGTCAGCATTCCACCTGTGATGCTATTCAGCGTACAGACCTGGGCCGACGGGCTGGAAAAAAACCGAGCAGGATTTTCGTGTGACAACTGCACCTGAATCACACTCCATGAACCTCCAGCACCCCTTTTTCTTTGCGTCTCAACAAACCAAAGAATGAGCACTCTGGTCCCAGGTAAGACCACCATCTCACCAGCCGAAGGCTTCCTCCAGACTCCAAAAAGACACACCCCGCTGGACCCAAGGGAGGTGACCAGATTCTGAAGTCACCCAAGTCCGCCCACTTCAGTGATGCCCTGCACCCGGATGCGGTGATGTCAGGTCACTGCGAGAAGCACGAAGGGAAGCCACCAGGAATCTCCATACCTGCCGATTGCTCGGCGATTGCTCACGGTGCTTCCACCAAGTGGGAAATCAGTGTCAAAAGCCGCTGGAAAAGAAGCATCCACCTGAAGAGGGTCCAATGGGGTCAATGTGTGCAACTGATCAGAAAGGAGCATCCTATCATTAGAATATGTTCTGCTCTGCCAGCTATGTTACTGCTCGACTGCCACCCATAGCACGGTAGATGTATCACATATAATATATATATATACATACATAGAGATAAAGATATACAATAATATATAATATGCAGTATAATTATATATATTATACGATGAAGCATATGGTGCCCTTCTTGGGAGATCTTGGGAGTAAGATGGAGTAAGTCTGTGGCTGCGCAGGCTGCGAAGGGGTGGCGCCTGGTTGCTGCCAAGGCCACTTGGAGACACTTCTCCTTCATGGAAGCCATCACATTCAGCGATGCGTTAACGGCCAACAAAATCACTACCTTCTCCAGTCTGAGATATTTTAAGGGACGCTGGTTCAGGGTCCATCAGGGTGGAGTTTGGGGTCTTGGTCGGATCTCGTGCTGGCCTGGTGATTGAGATTCTGGGCGCTCAAAGATTGCTGTCTCGTGCATGCGTGACCTATCTTGAAAACAAGAAGCTTGATTGTTTGGATTTCAGCATGTCAACATGCGCTTCCTTTCATGGACCTAATCTGGGCCAAAACCTGCAAGCAAACTTTGGCAATGCTGCACCTGCGATCTTTGACGGTGTTAGCTTTAGCCTACAACACTACACTTGCAGCATCTTGCAGCATCAATGGAAGCTCAAACAGCCAACATCCTTGTCATCGACAGTCCGCTATCCTATCTAAACGAGAGATCTATCTGCTGCCGTGATGTTCATCGAGAGCCGAGTGCCGCACTGCTCACCCTGCTCTCCTAAGGTGGAAGAGGAGGCTGACCATGGCTGGCTGCAAAGGTTTTGAGACCCTCACCAACTTGGCCAACAGCCGGACCAAATTCCCAGCTGGCACTTAAAGCTGCGTGTTAAGACCTGGGTCATCGCGTGTCTTCAGGTCCAATGCGTCCGCGGTGGGTACCGGGTCACCGTTGACTCGATATGTCTGAACTCGGTCTACGGATGTAGATGGATTCTACAGATGCCGCGCTCCATGAAACACCGTAGAATCAGTGCCGCTTTGACACAGTTTTCTCTCCCAGCAATTCTGGCCTTTCCGAAGTTTGTTGAAGAGCCAGGGCAAAAGCTTGTTCTGTGAATAGTCAGGCAAAACCTCGGTGAAGGTGAAGGCCGGGCACGGTGCACGAGGCTCCAAACCAATTTCAGTTCATTCACTACCATGCTATGATGTGTTTGCATGTGTTTGCAGCAAGTCCGACAGAGTGTTAAGAGAAACACTCACCCAAAGCTTTTTCATCCCGAGCATGCGCAAATCAACCCAGCATGCACCATGCCACCATGCATCACGATACGAATGTGCTTTAAACTTTAAAGGCATTTGGAATTGAGTGAATTCAGCCCAAGCGTCTCCTGGAGTTCGAATCTCTCGAGGGAGCCTGCAAGATGGGCAAGATCAGGCGCCGCTTCCCTCTGGCAGGTCTGGCACTTTCAGAGCTCTCTGGCTTCGCAGGGACAGATTGAGACTGTGGAAGCTTCATAGGTTTCAATGACTCTTCAGGTGCCAGGTGCAATGACAATGGATCTGCAGTCTCTTGACATACAATCTCCGACGCAAAAGCACTGTGCTGTTCCAAGCTCTGCAGAACTTGCTTCAAAATACTTGGTCCATGTTGCCTGCTCAAGGCAGGCTGCTCCGTCCAGGGAGTCCGCCAAAGACAAGCCACCGGGTATGTGAGGACGAGGCCAGAGTACTTCTCATACGAGGAAAACTCCACACGAGCAAAGGTAGAGAGCTCTGCATCTGTCAAGCGCAGGCCATGGATCAGTCGCCAGTACTCCACAAATGCTTCCTTGCTTTGCAACTCCACAGGCAGCTGCATGGTGGGAAGGAAGCCATTGGTCCAAACATGTGTGACTTCAGCTGGCGTCAGCCGAGGCAACACATGCGTCACCGGCCTGAAGACTGCCTTGGAGCCCTCGAGACGAAATCGCCCTGCCAGATCTGGGGACTGGGCAGCCCGGGTGAGGAAGGTAGCAAGAGGCTGGATGAGACGAACGGCTGGAGATAGGCAAAGCTCAGCCACGATCTTTTGTTGCGTAGCAGTTGCCCTCACGCAAGTGACATCCACACAGGGCATGCGAAGCGATGGCCGTTGCAAGACCTCCATGGCTGAGGCTGTTTGTGTTTGGAAGAGCCGATAGGGATGTTCCACTGACTGCCAACTGTCTTGGCACAAAGCATGCTTTGCTCCGAATGCAATGAGCCGCCTCAGGACTGCTTCTGTGGCCTCTGTTGCTGGGATGGTCTCTGCAGACTGCGAGAAGACCACCGAAAACCTTGCTTCGATTTGTGAAAAGACTTCGGACGGCACTAGGCCTTTGCATCCCAGAAGGGCCACAGCACCATGTGCTGCAGGCGCTGCCAAGAGCCGCACGCCACACTCAGCCGAGAGATCCACCAAGAGTCGGCTCAATTGCTCTTCAGGACTCCTTAACACATAGACCCTCTCATGTGGACGTTGCAGGATCAGGGTCCTTCCAACAAGGGCAGTCAACTGAGTCACATCAACCACGGGAATGCCATCGACGCTCTTTGCAACCCATGCCTCTGTACAGCATCGCCCCAACCTGGCACTTCCCTCTACAGCTTGTACCGTGAATGAAGAGGTACAGGAAGTAGACAAGATTACTGCGACGGTCCTCTCAGCTGCGCAGCGGCCTTGATACCATTGGCCAGCCACTTTCACGGACTTCATCGGAGAGCTGGCAACTTGCTGCGCGCAGGGCAAGACTGACTCAACCTTGATCGCGATGGAGTGCTCTACAAAGAAGCTTAGCATCGGGCAAACCACAAACTGCTGCCCTTGTGCAGCTTGCACAAACCAAGCAACTGTGTGTCCAGAAGTGCCCGTAGGCTCAGCGATCTTGTCTGCCGGCCTGACCTCCTCAATCCTTGGCACATATGATCTGAGATTGCCCTGCCCACGTTCCTCTTGGCAAACTGGAAGTACAACAGTTCCTTGCAGCTTCGAGGACCGAAGGGCTGGCATACCGACCGCTCGAAGTCGAATGCGGATCCCACCTTCCGCTCTACGAAGCAAGAAGTATTGCAGGCAAATGCCAAGTCACGAGTCACGAATGGTTTGTTACATATTGTTACTAATGCTCACTGGGTCGATCCAAGGGATGTCTGTCGGTTTCGCTCACCTGATTTCTGAAGTATGCCGTGAGGTTCCCTGTGCCTATCTGTCACTGTTGACTCTTGGACACCCGTCAAAGTTTGAGAAGGTAATAGAAGGTATCTAAATGCACTAGCTTGAGTTTGTGGGTTTGCTTGACCCCCCTGCTCATGTGTCTTGCGTCTTGAGCATGGCGGCTTCGACCCGGAATTTCGGCGCATGCCAGGTGGACTTGGGATCCCCATAATTAGACCCGAGGAGACGGATGTTCATCAAATGCCATTCAGGTCTTGAGCTCCTGGCCTGCTCCATCACACCAAAGGTCTTTGCAGCCTCTCGTTTGACCTGTGTCTTGCAGGGTCGTGGCTCGTGACCGGCCTTGTGGCCCCTTAGGCATCATAGGCCGACCGATCTTGGGCAGAATGGATGTGGAGCATGTACTTAGAGCATAGCATGGGCCGACTGTTGCTCACCCACTCAGCGGATAGGCTGTTGAAGCTTTCATAATTGAGTTCAAGCTTGCTAAGTGACCTAGCTCCCCTCTCTTTACATGTAACCAGAGCGTTGGAAAGGACACATCTGACCAAATCTCACTCTCAACTAGCTGGGTCATCCTGGTGAATCGTTCCAAAACGAGCCTGAAGTTTAGTCTAGCGGGAGCAAAGCGCCAAAGGATCCAGCTTATGAATTGTTGCATCGCACAAGCCGAAGCTGAGTGCAGAGTCCAGTGGTTAGCTATGTGCCTTGTAGCACCATTGCCTTCCATCTGAATCATTGGGAATGGGGACAATCAAAATAACAAGAAGGCAGGGGAGGACGGGGACACCAAAAAAGGAAGCATAGGGTGAAGAAACGGTGCCGCAAAGCGGTGACGCAGTGGGTGACAAAGGGTCAGGAAGAAAATGCTGTGCCTTTGTTGGGCCAAGTTGTTGACTAGATCTCTTTGATGACTAAATCTCTTTGATGTCAAACTGGCTTATTTGACCACTTTGTCTATAAGCATCGGCAGAAGTTTCGATTAGCCAGTGAGCTCTGGGTTTGCCTACTCGTCTTGCATGCTCAGTTCTTTTTATGAGCGAAGGAATTAGGAAGGAAAAGTACCTGGCGCATGGGATCTTGTGGGTCTGCTTGATTGATGTGTCCTAGAATCTGAATGTTTGGTTTCAACCACAATCTAGAGAATTCTGCAACTGTGACCCCATTACAGTATCGTTTTTGAGAAGCTCTTTCACAAACGCGTTAGTCATTGTGGCGCTTCTGGGTGGTATATGAAGGATTCACCAATATCCTTCATCTGGAATACGTCTAATCGTTGAAGTTCTGACTGATTAATAAAGCTGGATGTTTTCAAACGCATACAAACAAAAAGCATCGAAAGACATTGGGACAAACCCACCGTTGCAGAGCCCTAATATCCACGGACACTTCTCGGCCTCCGAAACTGGGTCGAACAACGCCTGCTCCAGCATGGGTGCCTTGGAAATCTAGGCAGATTGGATTCTCGACACTTTCCATACTGTGCCAACACATCCCTTGTTAAAAGAGGAGCATGAACGGAGGTTGTTTGAAAAGCTGCTGGATGCCACATGATTCAGCTGCCGAATCATGCTGTTCCATGTCATCTCAGGCTCCAACAACCATGGGTAAATAGGGCTTGATGAAGTCCACCTTTGGGGAGAGGTGCATGGCCGTCGGCCATGCTCCCACTCACTCATCACGAGCTTTACCAAGGGATCTCTAGGATTCACCCCAATTTCCAGGGCTGGACAGGGCCTCGCTCGAAGAGACCTCTTTGAAGGCACCATAAGAAACCCAGACGTGGCCTAAGCAGCCTGATCAAGTCTTGATCTCCCGAATCAAACCCTCCGGGAGCTCGTGCGTTCTGCACCAACTGAGAGGTTGACCCTGTCAGGACCGCTTCTCATACTCCAAAGGAATGGCATGACCAAGTGGGCAACACGCAGCTGGACTACCAAAACGGAGGATTCCTAGACATCCAGGCACCTGAGTCCCCTATAGATCCTATAGTCCCCTGTTCCCAGTGCTCATTAGTGCTCAAAGCCCCCCAAGCTGACATCTTTTCAAACTTCATCAGTGATCATCAGTGTAGTCATTCAATGTTAAGGACACTCCGTATCGCTGAGTGTTTTGCACGGTTAGGATGCTGTAGATATGGTTTTGATGGACCAAGGTTGTTGCAGGGTTTGCACACATCCACCTCGAAGGACCTTTCGCATGACACGAGCGCCGGCTTTCACAGGAAAAGTCAGATTTTCAGAGTCTTGGATGGAACGCTCGTGTTTTGCAGCAAATCAAAATAGCTTTGAAAACGATTCACGCAACCTCCAACATCCTCCAACCAGGATAGAGATGCATGAACTCCTGGAATTCTGTTGAAAGCTCTGAACTTAGGGGACTACCTTGCTTCAGCGAAAAGTGTGTGTTCACACAGAGCCTAGGCAGGGAGAGTTAATGACGAGCGCACAGTGCCACAAACGGACCAAAGAGCCAGCGAGACCAAAGATCTGTGCAGACCACTTCTTGCTGGCTGGCTCTCTTTCCCTGACAAACGGGTCCAAAAGGATCAATGGTTCACATGGTTCGAGAGGCCCTTGTGAAGCAATCAAGGGGTGAACATTCAAAAGTCAGCTCGAAAGTCCTGATTATTGAATTGGGTCCTCTCGACTCGATTGTATAATAGATGAATGGATATGACGGGTGTAGCTTTGACGGGAACAACACCACACCAGTCGCTTCCTAAATCTTGAGGACTCAAGTTGACTCAAGAAGTACCCAAAGGTTCCAAAAAACATATGCAAAAAGTAGGACTGGATTGGAAAATTGGACGACTTCGCTCCCGAAGAATTCTCTTAAGTGAACTTCCTATCATTCAGCGTCAGGCGTCACCCAGCTCAGGCGTCAACCTCGTGTGACGATTTGTCGAGCGAGTGTCAGAGTCGCTGCCTCAAGCCTCTCACTACGATAGGCATCAATAGCGAGAGCGAAGCCTCAGTGAGGAGGGGAAGCAAACAATGACCAACGGAGACGGAGATCGTCCGGAGCATCGCTGGTTGCAAGGTTTGGTTAGTTGATGCTAGTTGGCTTGCGTTGGTTTTTAAGCTGAATGGCTTGCTTGGTCTTTGCTGAGATAGTTTTGACGTTTTGACCAGGACCGATGATGTATATACATCCCTTGTGGATCCCCAGCCCGCATCTGGGCGCATTCCTCCCCTGCGATTAGAATGCTTTTGAAATGGTTGATAAAGGCTTGAAATGATTTGAAGGAATGAATAAGGAGACACCAAAAAACTGCAGAGTAGACGGGAAAGTCTGCTCACTTTCACTTGGGGGTCCCCATAAAGTCAGAGACGCGGCTACAAAGCAACTCTCGGGTCGGAGCCGCATCGATCAGGGACATGAAGGTCTGATTTCCCATTCTGGCCAGCACATCCTGGCAAAACATGGGAGTTGCACACCCGGCATAAATATGCAGGCATTGGCCGAAAGCACAGGGAAAAAAACAGAAGCCCTGGTCCACAGTAAGTAGCATGCTCTCGCCCCAAGATTTTACTCTGGGATACCTTAGGTAACCAAAGTCGACAGCGCCAAGGCCCAAGAAGACATGCTTTTACCTTTCAACCCTGACCCCTTCGGCTCCTGTGTATGCTTCTGATTTGTAGGTTCAGCCAACGCAGTGACCAGGTCCTGCGGTGCCAAAGCAGTTTCAGGACAGTATTTTGGCGTACATACTGAAGGAAATCAGAAAAATCTGGTCTCACCGTGACACTTGAGGGGGTGCAAGGACAGGAATATCCACACTGCGTCGTCTTTCTCTTGAAGATGTCAACCATGTTCAGTCAGATCTCCAAGTGTCCAGCCTTCGGTAACATTGCAGAATCTGTTGCCCTCAACTTCACAGACAGACTCAAGTAAGTCAGTCTGTAAAGATCCAAGAAAACCAAGGTCGATCTATCTCACCCAAGGTTGATGGTCCTTTTTTACCCGTTTTTTCATGTTTGTTCATGTCCAAATGTCGATCCAACATGATCCAAGCCCCACAGGCTTCCTGGGAGAGCTTTTTGATCTCCGGACTTGCCACCAGGTTGCCGATCTCCCTCAGAACGGCCTCAGGCCAGGCAACTTCCAAAGCCAAACCGTAGGTGTGGGCATGTGCAGGCTGATTCCCGATTCCCCCACAGTTCTCTCAAACTTGAGAGTTCCGTTTTCTCTACACCAGCCACACGCTACTAGTAACAAGTGCCACGCTACTAGTAACAAGTGCCTTACTAGTAGTAACAAAGAAGCTACTAGAAACAAGTGCCTTACTACTAGTAACAATAAGAATTTAATTAGAATTAATAGCTTCTTGTTACTAGTCACCTAATGCCCACCTCTTTCTTCCATGTTCCTGTCTCAGGCAGCACTCAACCTGGTGTCCGGGCATTGGTAGCGCTCCGAATCTCTGCCCGCACCTGACACCAAGGCCATGTTGGTGGACTCTCGGATCGCCAATCGCGATCAAGCAATCCATTGTGAATAGAATCAATGATAAAATATGTAGAAAGCGACAGTAAAGCAATCCATGCAGTAGCCTCCTCATCAAGCTGTTCTTTGTAGCAGATTAGACCTACTATAATTACCAGAAACATCCAGAAACAAGGGGTTCGTTATACTGCTACTCCCCAATCCAATCTAACGCAGTACTCAAGAGAGACTTTTCGAAGATCTACGCACAATATCTACTAAGTAGATTTTTCTTACTCCAGTCTTCAATCATCAATCAGAGCTCCGATCTCCGTGGTATTCCGTGGTCACCCCCTCGTCCTTCGCCGGAGCACCTCCAGCGCCGCTTCAGCGAGGCGAGTGAGGATCTGAGGCAACGATTCGGCCAGCTGCGCGGGCGTAAATTCCTGGGTGCGGGCCACGGACTGGCCACGGAGACGATGTTTCTACTCGCCATGCTATAACTGTGTTTCTGGGTGGGGAGGAATTGAATGGATTTGTCAAATGATTTGTGTGATCCCAACAGTCAGCATGGAGTTTGCTTCTTCTCAGGAGCTGTGAGTCGTCCGCCCAGTCCAACGAACCCATTGGTGTGCGCAATTCACCCACGGGATCAGGGCGAACGGCACGACACCTCGTGATCTGGGCGACCCACAAACATCTGATGAAGGCATGGCAGCAGCACATCGATGCCTTGGTATCGATGCTCGGAATGACCCGTTCTGATTGGAAAGATGTTGGATGTGGCAAGAAGTGCCAACTGTTCTTTCAAAGGCAGTTGCCCTTCGTTGGTACAAAATTGGAGTTTGCTGCGTCCAATTATGGCCCAGTTACAAGCAGCTTTGACTTTCCACCGTTTGTCCTGGCCGGTGGAGTTCAAGAAAGCTTAGCCAGCGGAAGCCGTTGCTAAATCCTACACAAGGAACCAAAAACGACTCGGTGCAAGACTCTAAGACCCATCATGTCAGAAACTCATTCACAAACAACACCAATTCATGTACTGCACCCAAGTATTCAAGCAAAAAGCATAATTGCTAGAGCCCAACCTGCATGCCGGCCAAGAGTGTGGGTAGCACCTGGACAGCGAGGAACAAGCTTCGGAGAGCGATGATGATTGAACCTATTCGGATCATTTTGGATCGTCGAAATTGGCCACATGGTCCCCTCTTTCATCACCTCAACTTAACAAAATGCCAGTCTTCTATATAACAAAAAAACCAAAACATGCTCAAAAAAAACAAAAAACATCTGAAGGAAAAATACCACCCTACGCTCAGCAGAGAATTCCGAATGCCCACGATTCTCGCGCTCCTCCGTCTCGGTGGTTCTCGGTGTCTCGTTCGGCCTCCGAGGCGATGCCATGGCCTTTCGGTTGCAAGTGACTAACGATGGCCTTGGCTGCCTGGCGGCCAGCGAAAACGGCCGACAATGCTCAATGGTCCCAACGGTCTTCGACCAACCGAAAAAGGTCTGCCATGGCTAGCCTGACTTGTCACAGATTCGATATACAGAAGAAGCAGCCGTTCCGCCGTTCCGATGCGTTTCCAGCCCAAAGCCTCAATTCCAAATTTGTTGTGGAGTGTCTCTACCAAGCCCAGCTGGTCCAGGATTTCTTCAATGAACAGTATAAAACAAATCCATACAAGTCCACCCCTCCCGGCAATTGTCCAGTCCCAGTGGTTTGCCGAGTGTGGGACTGGAACTATTGGATACCAAATTGGTGAACTCTTGTATAGGTAAGCATCTCAGGACCATTGCAAATATCTGCTCTCACAAGCTTCCCTGCACAGCCACCCGGCCTTCTGTGCAGGGGCACCAAGCTTGCTATCTGCAAAAAGGTCGACTAACCTGAGGATGGGAAACGACCGAAGCGCTTGAACAACGTTGTTGTACTACCATTGATTGTTTGGAGATGATTCCCCAAGCTGCTTGGACCATTCAAACTACATGAACCGTATATATATATATGTATGTTTGTGTTTGTAGCGCAAATGTTTTGTCACCTGTCAAGTCCTTGGCAGTTTCTTCCTGACATCTCGCGATGTAAATCCCTCCGGTATGGGTGACCCACTACGGTTTCTGGTGCAAATCACAATCTGTGAAGATAGTGCTGTCTCCTGCTTCTTCTTTGGGGGTGGTTTGCTGGAACCAGCTGGTGAGATTTCTTCGTTTGTCTCTTCTCTCTGAAACCCAGTGGCACTGGCAACTGCGGCAACACGAAGGGTGTGGCACTGCTCAGAATCTCCAGCGATGCCAGTGCACCAGCCTAGCAACTCATTCAACCAGCCCAAGTCGCGGAGTCTTGGCAGGTCTGGTGTTCAAGAGATTGGATTCAACCAGGTGTTCAGTCTGATTTGGTTTCCTAGCAGGTCTGGTTTCCTAGTTTTCTGCACCTCCCACAAGTCAGTCAGTATGCCAAACCCACAACTTCAGGTGTCCACTGCGGATGGACACAAATACTGTCGGAGATTCTATGTGTTGGCGACATGGTGATTCTCACCATATCCTGCTTCGGCCTTCCCAATAATACTGTATGATGCGGCCTGGAACCAACATGGCCATTGATATACATTCTCCGCCCAAGGTCTCAATTGTACCAACGCAGTCCATCATAGGAAGGACCTGGAAATTGCAGCGTACACCAAATTCCACTACCATGGCCCTAGACGATTGTAAGCGGGCGTATGACACCCACCTGGTTCTTGTTGGGGAACTTTCTCTCCCCTCTCTACTAGTGTTGGAAAGCAAATACGAGGTTAGCATCTTGAAACAAACAACTTCCAGCCCCATGAGGCACATAAGGCCAGCTCTATTTGAAGCAAGCCATCCTTCAATCCATCTTGACATTTCTTAACCCTCAGTGTTATAGCGCGTTCATCCCAACCACCCAAATGCACCTTCCAAAAGGCGGCGTCCTGCTCGGGCAGCGGTATCTGCCTATAATACAAGTAGGCCACCTACCTGGTCCGCACTACAGTAACTGATTCACAACCCAGCAGGGCCAACTGATCCATGATTGTCAGCCGGGAACATGGCATGGAAAACGCCCAGGAGCTCACCACTAGGCATCAGCCCATTGCCCGCATAGTGACCAAAATCTGCAACACCCAGGACCCAAGAGGATCCACAATCTCAATGGCAAATACAGCTTGTAGGTATGCGGTGTTCTTCTGTATCTTCTGTTCCAAAGTGGTGCAGGAAGAATGTCTATGAACAGGTTGCATTCTGAACTCCCAACCACACTAAAACTGAAAGAAACCCGAGCACACCGCCGTGCTTTGAGTCATTATCATCCACCCTTTCAACTCATCCGAGCGCCCCGCTTTTTCTGGCGCTTCTGCTTAGGCTGTCCCAGGCCCTGCACGAAGAAGGCCGTCATGGCATCCGCATCGCGGCGGAAGAGCTCCGCCAGCAGCGCCGCGTCGCCGCTGCGCCCCAGGCGCCGCAGCTCCGTCAGGTCGCGCTCCGCTTCGCGGAGCCGCTTGCGGTAGGGCCCGGGGCGCTGCGTGCCATCGGACCTGGCAAGAAAACAAGAAGACCTAGAAGTTACTACCAGTAGGTGTAGAAGTGACGAAAATGAAAGATGGATGTTTCAGGGTGTTGACAGGTGTTACTCTTTGGTTTATCTTATCAGTAGGTTGTTGTGTGGTTGTTTGACTTCACTCCATGCACTTCCTCACGTTGGGAACATAGTTGGAGGTAGTGTCCTTCTGGATTCTAAGGCGTTTTTAAATCCTCACTGTTCAAATGCCAAAAACAATTAGAAAATATTGGATGGTATTTACTTGTCCAGCATCATTCCCTCATACTGAAGCCAACTTGGAGTTCGCGAATTTACGCTTTTCAGAGGGAACTGTCAGATACGCAATGCGCAAACTGTCTATTGCCAGCAGGTGCTGTCCAAAACAAACTCTTTAATCGGAACTGTGTAGTAACCATCCACTTCGCCAAGCGACAATCGCACCATGGCACACAGCGAGTCTTGAGGTTCCTGGAAGGAGCACACCTGAGCGGCTCCGGCGACTGAGCACACCGAGGTGGAAGGGCACTGGCTGTGCGTCGCCAGCGTGGGCCGGAAGGGCTTGGTTTTCACCGAGGGGTTGAGCCCAATCCGAATCTCCCCCACACTTTACCGACCGTTTCTTTCGCAAACAAGCTTAACATCATTACATTTATATATACTAGATTCCAAGTGCGACGTTATCTCTGACCATCTCTGAGTCCTGGTCATCCAAGGGATCATTTTCCACTTCCATGATTATTTCAGGGAGTGCCTCAAGGCTTCCTCGACCACTCAAACCCATGCACCACCATGAAAGCAGCTGTTCTGATCTTCAGCTCTGTCTGGGTGCCTGAGCCCGCCCGTTGTGCCGTTTGGGCGTCGATCCAACTCGTTTGCACCCAAGTCGCTGTGATGCCATCCGGCAACTCCTCCACGCCCCATTTCTTGCAGGTGCGCTTGCGGCGCTTAGCCAAGTGGAGCAAGGTCCGGGAGATGGCTTTGCGGAGAAAAGAGAGCTTGGCCTGAGGGGAACGCTTGAAGATATGACATACAGTACGTATATTCTTTCGTGTGCGGGACAAGCCGGGTAAGCTAAGAAGCAATTAAACATTAACTATAGTATCTGGATGTATCTGGTTATATACTGTAGTAGCAAGGACGCAGGAGAGCTCATCCATCTTGGAGGGTTCACATATGTTCACAAATTACTTGGGTAACTTCACATTGGGTGGGTTGGGGATGCCCTTGCCCAGCCCCGGCTCTTGGAGTATTCTGCTTCTGCACCACGGCGCCTGGAACTTTGCCTCGGTCCTCTTCGCCCTCTCCTCGTGCGACACGCGAGTCCGGCGCCGGGCGGCCACGTGGGCGTCACGCGGCGGCCGCGGCTGGCGCACGTGGTATGTCTTGGCCATGTCTTGCCACGTGGTGATGAAGCCATCCAAATCCTGAGAACTAATGGAGGATGTTGAAATGGGCAGCCCACTTCTAGAACAATCCAAGTTCTCAAGCAAATGTCTGTGAAATGCGGTGAAACTAGTTGAGCTTCAGCAGGGGATGCAGTGGCCTGTTGAAAAGGATTTCTGTGCATCGAAGAAACCGCCTTGCACCTGTCCACAAACGTCTTTTCCAGGTTGCTATTGTTGGCCCAAGCTCCCAGAAACTCCCTCCAGTTGAAAATCACAGGCATCAAACTTGTTGTTCCTCTACTGGTCGCCGGTATCTAGAACGAACCAAATGCCGGTCTTTGAGACCACCCGGTGGACAGTCCTGCAGGCTCCCCATTTGGAGTCATCCATAGTCCATGTCATACCAGAAAGCTACCCAACATCTCGCTAGAAACAAAGGAACTATGTTACATGTTCATTGCATCTCCAGGGCTCGGATTCTTTGAAGCTCAAAGACATGTGCCGCCCCTTCCGAAAGCGAAAGGCCATGCGGAGTCGTGGGAGCTGAGCCGCACGCCGCTCCGAGACCACGGTGTGGATGGCTTCGCGTAAGGAGGGCCCCAAACCTTGGGCGGATGCGACGCATGGCCTCCAACCTAGGAACTGCTGGCCTCCAACCTAGAAGATGAATGCAAATGGCCTTATGGGATCTGATCAGAGAGATCGAGAGGCTTGGAGGTCACCGTGATTCACCGTGTCATTAGGTCTTGACTCTGAAAAAACTCCATCGGTGGGCCATCGTGGTCTATGGGATGGCAAGGAATCAGCAAATTCCTGTCATGAATAATCTTCAACTCTGTTCTTCTGCGGGCTGAGATTTGGGTGACAGTCTACCAAGTGAGAATGTGCCATTCTTCTATGATGTAAGTTGCAGTCTATCTTGGAGCCAAGCCTATCACTCATCCACCACTTTTGCACAAGGCGTCAATTAGACAGCCCCCCCGGTTCAACAAATCGAGTGTTTCATGTACACGGGGTAAGTAATTATATCATAGTCTAAGTCATAGTCTATTCTAGGCCCAAACGGCAAGAAGCAGAAGTGCCAAAATGAAGCTTCACTGCGAGGCACCGGTTCCAGACTTCAAGTTTGAAAGGAAGCATTGCCGCACCTTGACCTTGGCAGGAGTCTTCTTGAAATGGACAAGAGCTAGAAAAGAGACCAACGGCAGCTACCGCACGTTGGCGTGCACAAAGCTGGTGGAGTGGCCGACTTCTCAAAGATCTGCCAATGATCAGTGCGAGAGACTAAACTGATATGAAAGTCGATGGCCTCGTCCAGGCTTCTGACTGATTGCGATCGAATCACCATGCAGTGAAAGCCTGAGGAGATCAACACCAAGCACTAAACCACCAGGCAATGATCGATCCAACAAAAAACCATCTGAGCAAAGGTGTACGAGCCTCCGGTTGTGATGCAAGCCTTTGAATATGAATCTGATGGCAAACTTTTGAGGTGGGTTGATAAGACTGGATCATGGGAAATTGGATGGCAGGCTGATTCAACAGTTCAATGTAGAATGTCCAGTTGAAGATGAACAAAAAATTAGATAGCAAGAGAAATGCATCTACTGTAAATGCATGTAAATGCAATGCATCTTCAGTAACCCACGCTCGCGGAGTAATCAATGTAGTAGCCATTCACCAATCGCCGGTGTTGTCGCACGATGCCCCTGGACAACTTGGGCATTTGCGCTTCCTCTCAGAGCCGGGTGGTCAGTGATTGGTGGACTTCACTGTACAATGAGTTTTGACAAGAGTTCAATCAGGAAGACTAAAGACGTGTAGGGCTAACAATCGACAACACTGATGACTTCAGACCCCTTCACTCCTCTTGTGTGATCGGAGCTTTCCTCCTTCTTCTCCTCTTCGCTGGACAAGCTTCCAAAGCGAGGCGTGTGGGCTTGCGCAAGGTGTCGGACTCCAGGTATCGAGCGAAACCTTGAAGGACTTCTTCAGAAAGCTCACGCAAAGCAGCCATAATCTTTGGCTTCTTCCTTTCCTGCAAGATTCGTCCGATTCGTCTCACTAAGCGAACAAGCAGCACGGGTTTTCAATGGGTCCATTTGCAGTGTTAATCAACTTTCGAGAGAAACTCAAACGGCTTACAACTCTGCGCCTCCTGGCAACAAAAATCTGAAGAATAAAGTCCAAGGTTCACCATACATAAATCTGTAGAGCATTTCATCATAGTCCACATGATTACTGCTTTCAGCTTTTGAAGTCGCGGCCGCTTTCGGCACACCCCGTGACTTCGCCGCATCACCGCTGGATGGGCCCTTCGGTCGTGCACGGGGCGCGTGCCGCGCGGTCGGTGCACGCGGCACATGACCCGTCGGTGTGGGCCGCGCGGTCGGCGGAGCAGGTCGCCCAGTTCGCCCCGGTCGCTCCGGCTTCTGCTTGGGCTTCTCAGGACTCACTGCAGACAGGGATTGGCGGCGATTGGCATCCACCAAGGACTCAAAGGCCTCGACCACACAGCGGAAGGCTTCCTGTCAGGAGGGAAGGTGATCAAGTCAATTCAAGTCTAATCAAGTCTCAACTGCAGCAACTCTTGTTGCTGAATTGCCTAATGATTTCACCATGGCTGGACCACAGCTAGCGGCTAAATGACTCTTTCCGGAGCTGTCTTCTGTAGCTAGTCAGATGGGAGTCTATGCACGTGTAAAAGAACACACTACTTTTTAAACTCGTCGTCGTGACATGTTGCAGAGTTTTTATGCAACATCTCCAGTTGCTCTCTACACTCTTGGTACGTAACATATGATGTTTTTTTGGTGCAGGAAGAACTTTCATCGGTGGGTATAGTAATGCTCGGGCCCTAAGCAGCCAGCAGCCAGCAGGTATGGGCAGCTGTAAGGTCCGAACATGGCCAAACAATGCAGAAGAAGACATGAATCTCCACTTTTTCCCAGTAGTGATGGTGTCTACCAGTAGAGAGGGATTCAATGCTTCAGTGAAACAGGCCTTACCTAGTGTCACAAAAAGAAAACCGTTGTGTGCTGTGATATGAGTACCAAAGCATACCAAAGCAAACTTCAATCCAAGATTCAGCTGATCCTCCTTTGTCTGGATGCGTTGTCAACGCGCGTCTTCGGTAGGCAGAACGAATCTCATTTTCGTTGGCCGATGGCAGGACATCCAAGGTTTTGTAGGGACATGGCATCTAGGGCAAATGTTAACAGCCTCCAGGAAACTTCAAACTGGAAACGATCCTGTGTGGATTCTTCAATTTCCTGGGCGAAACACCAACCCCACACCAGTCGTCATGAGTCATGTCGAGTTCAGCTCATCAAGTATTCACGAGCATCTGTCGGTTTCCTTCTATCAGTCTGGTCATGGGAGTTTCAAGCATGGACCGCATGGGTTAGAATAAGATCATGCACGGAACATCGGAGCCAAGGTGGCTATCGGACCATGCACAGCAACACGAGGACGGCCACCGCTGCGACTCTGAAAAGGGATCATTGGATTGGCTTCCACTGCCCAGAAGCATCAGTAGACTCGTACCGCCACCGGCCAAGAAATTGCAAAGCCTTACGACCACACTGACGGAACTCTGACGGAACCTGTAGCCAATCCGCCTTTTCTTCGAACTCACCCTTTGGGTCCTTGCCAGTGCTATGCAGCTGCGCTTCCAACTCCCTGAGCAATTCTTCGGAGGCCTCCTCTGTCTCCTCTGTGGCCTCGAGAGATCAGTCATGCTGTTCGAAGAGAAGGCGGATCTCTCGATATGGGTGTGTACTTTAATTGCGTGACCCATGGGTTTTGGTCTATTTTGCTTCTTAAATCTTCTTAAGGGGGGGTTGGGAGGTTTCCCTATCTTGATAGGATGGATTAGGATCTCTGGGGATGGTTCATCTTCCCAACAGAAACCACCACAGCAAAGCCACCAATGAACCTCAAGATGACTTCTGGGTTGATGATAGGAGAGCTAAAATAGCAGAACCATGCAGAACCTATGAGAACAATCGCGAGCATACTCTCTCTAGAAAGGACAAGCTAGGAGGGTAGCTTGCCCATTTCCCAAGTGGGAATATTATGGAATGTGGGCATCGCAGCATCAGTCTCACGCTTTCCTTGGAATAATTTTGTGATATTTTGTGCAAGGCTTTGTGTCTTTGCCTTTCAGGGGGATCAGCCAAGGTCAAGAACATTTGCCTACTATCTTAGTATGGCGACACAACATGACACAATAAGACTTCCTGACGCTCATGAGTCATATGAAGGACAAGACTACGATGCATAAGCAATGGTTCCTGTGGTGCATACATGCAGGCTATTCAACCAGCACCAGTTCAAAGCGGCAAAATAAAAGGAGATTCTGCTATACTCAATGTCGCTGGCTACTGTCACAAGTTTCATTTCATTTGCAAGAGACAAATCCATGCAATTCAATCGTCCAAAAGGACCATTGCACATGGAATTGTGATGTAGCTCAAGAGCCTGCGAATGCCTGCAGCATGTTCCAAAACCCACTTCTGCGGGCGTGCCCCTGTTATAGTCTGTTGCTCAAGCTCTGTGACCCAATCCGTCGGCACGCCCCAACAGTGACCTTGCGCATCTCTACTTTGGGTGCTGCAGCCTGCCGCTCCAGAAGCAATATCTAGTCACTAGATGTCACTAGTCACAAAAAAGAGACTAAACAAAAGAAGAAGGTGAAGAAACACGGGGGCATGCAAACGTTCCAGTGGGAGGAGTGATCCCACCTTAGCATCTGCCTTTTGACTGTTCTTCTCCAGCGCTGCTCGCTCAGCCTCGCCTTGCATGGGCTCGTTCTTGTATGTTCTCGATCAGTCAAGAAAATGCATACAGGAGGTTACACCAAACAGCACAAAAACAGAGGCTATTGGTTTGAATTTGGGCAAGAAAGATTCCATCGTGATGCATGGTGCATGGTTTGTGATGGTACTGTTGAACAACGACCTTGAACATGTGTGAGGACTCTTGCAAGATGAGTCTCTGGCAAATGAATCTGTGAATGAGAGTTACCGGTCGTTTCATGTGATCTCTGGACTCGCTCAAGGTTGTTCAGTGTTGTTCAAAATCTATTGGAAATTGGTTCTAATGGGTTCTTCATTATTCTTTTGCAGCACGTTCGGGGCTCGCGGTTTTGTTTTCAAGTGCTGTATTCTGTGCAAAAGCAAGCTTTTGCGGACAGAACTGATTTCGCAAGCTTTCGCACATGAAAAGTTTGCAAATCTTGCACAACTGCATGTTTGCCTTTCGCGGAGGCATCTTGCATCGATCTCTCGTCAAATTGTTACATGGGAAGTTTGGGCCGCCGCTCAATGCAGCATGCAGCCCTGGAATCCGAAGGATGATATTAATGAACCCACAAAGCTCAGTTCCCGTGACAGCTCCAGAGGAAACGAAAAGAAAAAGAAGTCATCTTTGGCTCAGTCCCTCACGCTTGCCCTGAAGCTCCATCTCCTTGATCTCCTCGGCAAGGTAGGTTGCATCATGTTGCATTGCCACGACATGCCAAGCCTGTGTCTGTGTTGGTTCAGTATGAGTTCTAGCCATCCCCTTCAAGTCTTTCACTTTGCCCATCCCTTCAAGCTAGAGAGGTCCCGACACCCCGAAACCAAGGATCCCCGGCATCAAACCCCAGAATGGTGTGGCTGACCATGAAACTAGCCTGTGTCTGCAGCTGTCTACAAATCTGAACGTCGATATACTACAAGATTCTACAAGCATTTTGGATCATTCTGGTACCTTGCACCCAAACCAGCGTCCTCTTTGACTTTGAGGTAGGTCTCATCAGTCTGGAGTTTCTTCAATGCTGTTTCGAGGTCCTGGAACGGCGTGCAGAAACCGGTGTGCTGCACCTCTCTTCCTTTTCAGCATCAGAGATAAAAAGCTGAGATGAGATGTGATCTCCCCTGATTCCCCCACACTCCCTTTACTGTAACTTTCAACCAAACTGGCACCAGTTCAGAACCAAAGTCATGAGAATCATCTGGGGGGTTAAACCTTCACCCCAAAAACGCGGCAGCTCACTTGGAGTGAAGCCATGCAAACATGGTGTTCCAGAAACTTTGTTGATGCACACACGAAACCAAACCGGCACACCTTCTGGCGCAAGGGGTGCCAATCATCTGGTCGACCATGAACTTGCGAACTTGCAGTGTAAGGAGGAAACGAACACTGGCTTACTCCCACGTGAACAAATATATACAGTACCTGAGAAGGAGGAACGAAAGCCAGTCATACACCAATGTGCAATGCGGGGCTGCTGATCTTCTGCTCTTGGATTGCTGGTTTGGCTGCTGTTGCTGCTGCGTTGGTGCTGGTTTGCTGCTTCATCGTATCCCTAGCAAACCTTCACAAAAGGTGCTCTCGAAACGAAGATGCTGCTTCAAACCTCCGCACGCTTGGGACGCCGCCTTCTTGGCCTTTTTGTTGGCTTCAGCTTGGACCTGTGCATAGCAGGGCAAGACTCCTCCAACAAAACCCCAGGCAGCAGGGCACATGCGGTGCTTCGATTTTCACCACAGGACCCGGTTGAACCCCAAAAATCAGCCTACTGAGATCAAGTAACCTGCTGGAGCATGCATAGTTGATCCAACGAAATCTGCAAAACCTGTGCTCAAAGGATTCGAACGAAACAGGATCTGCCAGCAATCCGTGCAGCGGTTTGCCTCGCAATCCTTGTCGTCAATCTTCATCTCCCACATCTTTACGAATTTCTTTTTGTCCTCCCAAGGTCGCTCCGCCCCTAATCCATCCTAATCCATCCACGGCATCCAGACCAAATGACAGACCTTCTGAAACTAGACTAGACCATCCACTCATCACCACGACTCTTCACCGACGCTCGCTCCAAGTCGGTGGTTGGACCACCACCCCACCATCGGTTGCGCTTGCATGCTGTGCTCGCCCAAGCGAATCAATCGGTTTGAAGTCTTGACCAATCTCCCCAACTCATTGATTAGGGACTTCAATCCTAAATCCCAATATGTCCCAATGACCCTCTCGTTAAATCCCAGCTCTGTGCAGTCGCCTCTAAGGTTGTCAACTTGGGTGGCGGCGCACTTGCCTTCGACTTCGGCGCCTAGCGCAGCTTTTTCGATGTCTTGCTGTGGGATGTGCCCTACCGGACCTGTCACTGCCTTTATCTTACACCTCACAAGTTCAGCCCAATGGATATTGGATGAAACGACTCTCCGGCGACACCATCTCCATCAACCTGGATGAGCACAGGTAGCCAGGTAGCTATCACCCAAACCTAAGCTCCCTGCCACTTTCACCGCGGCCGCTTTCGAAGCTACTTTGGCTTTGGGCTTGGGCGCCGCAGTTACCTGAGAGCATCATGTCACTTGTCAGAGCTTTCAAAATGGACAGATCGGCACTTTGAGTGAACCTATAAAATGAACAATTCTGCGGTTGGCTGCAAGAACCCATTGAGCTCTGTTTCAATGAACAGCACCCTTTGCTCCTAGTAGCTTCTTGTGGCCTCCAACCTACTTGCGATGGCCTCCCTATATAATAGCATCCTTGCTACTAGTAGCTTCTTGTTCCTAGTAGTAATGCCAGGAGCTACTAGTAGCTTCGTGTTCCTAGTAGCGATGCTTTGTTCCTAGTAGCTTCTGGTTGGCTGCAAGAACCCACTGAGCTCTGTTTCAATCAACAGCTTAGTTGAAACAGTAGAACGCCAGCACTGCTATTCCACCAGGTGGGAGAACCACAAACTGCAGGGATCGTTTGTTTCGATGTGTCGGTTCACAGGTGGCATGAGCCGCCAAATCATGCCATCTCATAGAATGGTTTCCTAAGCCTGTTTGATTCTGGCCATTCGGCATGGCTTACTTATTGTTAGCCCCATCCAATCTACCAAAACCCTGCTTGCTGCGCTAATGTGAAGGGACCTGGACCTGTTTTTGGAGCAACATCTCAAAACAGGGAGCTGAAGAGCTGGGAGGATGACCTGATGCGACTGCGCAAGTGGAAATCCTACCAAACCCTTTCAAGCGTTTCACAACAAACCCCTGGCAAACCTGGAGACCGTTGGTGGTGCGACAACAAACTGGGCACTCCGCGCCCCAGCCGTTCTAGCCGCCTTGTTGGCGGCGGCATCAAACCTGGTGACAGATCCGTTTGGTCCGCTCAAGTTGCACTCAGGTTGTGCATCGGAGTATATAATTTATATAGATGGAAGCCTTTCTTCCCTCAGCCTCCTCCTGGCCTCGCTGGAAAGGGTAGTTGCATTGCTAGCATTTGCTGTGTAGCTGTCTGTGTCGCCGTGTTTTCGGATTGGCCCCCCGGTTTGCTCAAAAAAGGGCCTTCTGCGTCACTGCCGCGCCTGGACATGGCGTTCCGCCTGACGCGCGAGGAAGCGCCAAGAACCCCAAAATTCCTGGCGAGCACAGAAACTCGAGCGGAGGGACTCGTCGGACCTCGCGGGACTCGTCACCGAGAGATCTGCTATGAACCACTTTGGGGCTAAAACATCTGTTCTACTATCTGTAGAGTATCTCTTCCGATATTTTTAGAAGAGGTGTCGTGCAACTAGACTGCGAACCTTGAACCTTGAGTGGGGTAAATCATATATATATAATTATTGCCTTATTGCCTTTGAATATGTATTGATATGTTTTGTAACAGTTTTGTAGCTTGTACAGTAATTCAGTAATTTACCACTGACTAGCCTGGTGGATCCTATCGGCCTATTGAAGAGATTGAAGCGCAACCAGTCAACCAGGATGAGATCTACAAACTTGCACCACTCTAGTGGACCAATCTCGCCCGACAGGTCAAACCTAGGCCGAGACATGACCCGAACAGTCTGTGCTCCGCACCAAGTAGACTAGCCATGAATTGACAAGATTGGCAAGTGATTTCATATGCTTAATGCCTTCTCCTTAAAGATGGCAAGGCAAGACTTAAAATTTGGGACCATCCATCTTGGTGGTTAAAACACAGAGTAAGACGCATCGGAAGTGGCTCGTACTGATGCAAATCATCCCCATCGTAGAAGGCCAGGCATGCCATGAGGATCTTTCCTTTTCACTGGACACAAACACCTGCGGAGGGCACCTCCGCCTGGGCAGTCAGTGGCAAGGAGCTGGTCGGTCGACGAGCTTTGCCGGTGCCTTAGTCGTGAGAAATGCCAAGTTTGGGGATACAGGTCTTTCCACCAAGTACAATATTCAAATTCCATCAAATTCCAAGATGAGATGCCAGAAAGTCACAGCCGGAAACAATGCAAAATGCCACCGCCCTGTATGTTTCAGAGTCGATGGCCTATTTCGAGCGGGCATGCACAATGCACAGCATTCCTTTCCAGAAGCCATCCTCCACAAGTCACTAGCCCCAGCCCCTCAATCCCTGAGGCTTTCACCAATGGCAAAGGTCAGCGAGCAGAAGGTTCTATGAACAAAAATGCGTCTGTGTTCAGGTTGTGGGATTATCTATTCATGATCTTCTCTCGATGTGCAAAATCCGGTAGTTTGATGTGCTGGCCGCTGGGATGGCTCAACCAGGAGTAACGACTCAAGGTTCTGCATAGTCTCATGTTGATTTTGACTTGCCAGAACTCCTAGCGTGTCAGTCGCCATGCTTCACCAGTTGGTGTGATTCACAAATGAACCTACTGGTGACTCAGGGTTGCATGCTTCTTATTCTGCTTCCAGCTAGGCGGCCCATCACAAGGAGGCGAGACCGGCATGTGGCGTGAAGAACAGCCGCTTTTAAAGAACTGGATTCAAGAAATTGGGAGCTTGAGTGATGTGGTTGAGATTGACCTCCATGCAACCATCATTCACCTCAGTATCACGGTGAACCTCAGATCCATGGCCAAAAGGATCATCAAATGCTCCGCTGTTGCAAAGGAACAAGGACCCTTCTGGATCTTCTGATGTGGTACCTCAACATACGAGTGCTTCAAGTTTGAGATCATGTATTGAATCCTGCTGAGTATTTTGTAGTAATAAACTCACTTGGCAAGCGTGGCCCACAACATCCCTTCTATGGTCTGGTGCTTTCTCCAAATCTCCGATGCAATGTTCGTGGCCCAAATGCCTCGAAGAAGGTGCAGACCGTGGGTCCTGTTCGGTACCGTTACGAAGGGACCGTCTTTGGGGCCTCAAGTTTGATCCCCACCTGTGCTCTGCGGCTCCGCCTGCCTTGTTGTGAAGGGACTGCAGAAACTGTCGAGTGGTGTGCCCCACGGCCAGTTGGACTGGCGGACCGGTGCAAAAAGAAAGCGATCTGATTTTGTTCTGCCAATCTGCATGCAACGTGGGTCGCCCTGTGTGCAGAATTCCGAGCTAGAAATTGATCACCACATGCACGTGGTTCTTCTTCGCGGCTACATGGCCCCCAAACGGCGCAGTTGCTCCAGCGAAGGTCCCAGGTTGTGACTAGAAACGACAATCAACTACTGTGTGCCAGTTATTCCGATTCAGCAGCCAGCCTGCTTTTTGCAGCATGGCTGTTTTAACCTGCCCAGGCTGAATGATGGAAAAATGCCAAACTCTAGACCTTGAAGAGCAAAGAACGTACACCCATCGTTACCCATCAATGGATGGTGACAACATTCAACAACAGGATAAGATAAGTGTGCCAATGCAGTTGGGAGCTGGACAACACGGAGTCGCGGCAGAGTCGCTGCTGCGTGTCGTGCCCCTAACTTTATACACTGAGTGCTGCCGCAAAAGAACACCATGTGTGAATGTTGGACACCCTGGATGAACATTCGTTCTCCCCAGGAGAAGAGGACCATGCTGGGTCTGGAAGCGAAAAGAACAGGACTCCAGTGCCCCACAAATGTATCTCCAAATCCGTTCAGCCAACAAACCACTGAGGTTTGGCTCCAATGTACAAAGAAGTTATATTACAAAAAAATAAGAAAACGGTCACTGGAAGAGTAATAACATGTATATAACAACTAGGACTCACTGGAAGTCTGTAGTAATTAGCTATATTTAGCTAGCATCTATCATAACATCGGTTTTCACTGCACGTTCCTTTGGCTTTGGAAGTTCTTGGCTCCCACCTGAGGATCAAAGTGAGAGACGATGTGGACCTGGGAGATCGACGATGTCGCGCCGGTCGAAGGCCCCACACGTCGACTGCAGATTGACGATGAACTCAACGGATTGACGATGTGCTTTGCTATGATTTGCTCCAAGTAACACCGCTGCCACCATGTCAGAGCGCATGGTGTAAATGATACCCGCGAAAAACTACTAACAAAATGTCCTGCAGCTGATTCTGGCAATGTCCGAAGTTCGGGCTAGCCTGTCTTTGTCATATGGTGCGCAGTCAAGGAGCTGTCGTATCACTTGAATTGACACCTGGTGCGACCATGATCCTCAGATGAATCCAAACTCTCATGGGACACGAGCAAAAGAATAGGAAAGAGGCAAGTGCACTTCATTCAGAACTAGAGAAACAAAGAGCCGACCCACTGCTCACCCTTCCAGTAGAAGAACATGTGATTCTCCTGTTGTTCAGATATTATGTTCAGATGGGCGATTGGACCACCATCAATTTGGAACCAACCTGGGCCTGGACTCTGCACAATCATAAATAGGATTCAATCATGGGCATCCACGATCACGGTAGAGTTTAAAATGTCTGAATAGTCTAAATCATCTGGCAAGTCTCGAAGTGAGACAAAGATCCTGTTGCTTTCGGACGCCAGCTGCTTCCGCCACTGCCTGACTGGTTTCATCTGGTGAATCTGAACAAGCAGCCCGGAGGACTAAGAAAAGAACAGCTCCAAGGTTCCCTGTTTGTAAAACCATCAAAAACCTTATTGACTGCTTGTGCGATGCATCATCATGTGACACGCAAGTGAAATATTGCACAACTACAGCCATGTGAAGCTTTAAAAAAGTAGCGAGGAAGCAAGGCTGCTGGCGGACTGCGCTGATGCTTTGAGAGGCTGAAGGTGCAAGAGATAGAATGAACAGATGCGCTGGACCCTCATTCAACAAGAACTGGTAACTGCAGGGATGGAGCACGGTTCATAACCTTAGGATCTTCCTTCGGGTCTTCCTTCGGGTCTTCCTACGGTCTTCCTGTCAGGGATCCTTGGATCCCCCTCTCTCCCCAAACACCCGAACCATCCCGAACCCGGTCACCTGCCGACGAAGCGTTCCACCCCCGAGTCGTCCGAACCGGAACCGGAAGCCCCGATGATGCCTCGGTCCCCACGGACGTCGCGATCGAAAAGCCACGGTTGGCTTTGCAATCATAGCCTTGCGACAGGCGATGGGTCGGAGACGGAGATGCGACCCAAAGCACAAAAGGGAGCAGGAACTGGAGCAGGACTAATGCAGATGGAACATGACCTCAAAAGTTACCAAGAAGGAACACACGATGCAGTGTGGCCTACTCAGAACCCAGGTGCCACCCTGAAATTATGGTAAACATTAATTGGTAAAGCTCAAGCTATTTACTGTAAGCAGACTTAAGCAGGGAGGTCTCGAACTCTGTTTGCTGGCACACAAGAGATTGCGGACAACTCCGGATCGGGGCGGGATCTCCGAAGGGATTTCCATTGATTTTCCATTGACTGCGCGCTGGGAATCAAGCAAGCTAAGCAAGAAGCTTGCAAAGTGCATGGAGTGAATCACCCATCTTATGAATTAATCCTTCTTCTGGGCCAGAGTCCACAATGGGCTACAGCATGCTACAGCCTACTGCTTCAATCGATACCACTGATGCTGTACCCTCCATCTCGTATCTTGTGCTCTTGAGGATGTGGGTCTTTGAGCAGTACTGTACGAAGTCCAAATTGGAATACAAGTTGAGCTTTCATGAACCCTGTTAAGGGCCTTCGCTTCATGTATGACTTCAATGTGCTGTGAGCCCATGAAGGTGCGGACACCCGAGATCTTCGTCACAAGTGCAGCTTGAGCCCAATGATGCTCAAAATGCCTTCAAGTCTCTAGGCCAGTCCTCCACCACATACCTTTAACCCACCGGAGACCGAACCTCTGTTTGGAGGCTCTTTCCCACGCTCGTCAGCCCACACCGAAAACAGCGAGCGATGCCCGGTCTGGGCCGTCCGGGCGCACGGCGATGAAGTCCGAAGTGAAGCGCCGGCCGGCGGCCTTCTGAACCTCTGGACATGAACCATGCCGTTTTCGGATGACTCTTCAGTGTCTCAGTTTAAGACATGTCAATGTCAATGTCGCAGTATTAAACAGTCTTCCAGGCGAGTTCCCGGCAACACGAGGGATCTGAATCTCCGCAACCTGGCATCGTCAACCATTGCAACACATAAGCTGGCTACTTGGAAGGCCGGAGGCCTGAACAGCTTCGTCCACCCAAAATCGAAAAAACACCTCTCACGCACA